ATTCTTCGTTGCAGTTGCCTTTAAAACACAAATACAAAAAAATGCAGTAAATCTTGAATTCCATTAAAAATAATAAAGCACTTACTTGTTGAGGGCGGCGTCTCCTCCATTCAAACCCATATCCTCTCATCTGCTTCAATGGATGAAACTTCGCTCTCTCCATCAAAAAACACTTTTATTGTCCAGCCAATTTTGTTGTTATACATTGTTTAATAACTTCTTAGAACAAACGGGTTGTTTTTCGCATTCTCTTTGATAGTTTTTGACCTCTAACCACCTCTTCCCCGGTATCTCTCATGGAGCGCTCAGATTACGCACAGACGCACCAGTCGCTGTAATCCTTTGCGCACGGACTTCTGCGCTGATATATCAAAGCCGCCCACTCAAATGACATGTTATTCTGGTCAGAAGTTCATTGGCCATCAGAAACGACGGTCATTTGCACACTCTGATGCAATTGGATCGGTCTACTGTCGATCAAAGAGAGGCGGCCTCATCCTTCATTCTGGGTGCTAGTTGGCTATCTCTGCCTGTAAACACCTCATAGATGCAGCTATTGGCTCAAATAAGGTGTCAATCAAAAGGGCAGAGTTCAGCGGCCGTTTTAACATCTGTTTCATAAGGAGTCAATCAAAAGGGCAGAGTTCAGCGGCCATTTTAACATCTATTACTCCATGTTGTTTACATGCAAACACGAGCTGTACCGCAGAATGCGCCGAAGCTTTGAGCGCTCCATCGGCTAATCTGAAATGATACTCCTACACTCCGTGGATGTTTATCAACATATAAATGTGTTATGGACTAAATATTTCACTGAATTGGATAGTCTGGACCCTTTACAGTGTAACTACACCATTTTTGTTGGAATGTAATGAACTAGTGGACTAACAAGAGGCTTCATAGGTGAGTTCCTTCAGTTTTGTTATTGTTTATTTGGTTGTTGTTGGTCTGACAAAGACACTGATTGTACCTGCTGTGTTGATTGTATCTTAAAATGCGTCATTCGAATCACAGGAATCTTAGCGTTCCCAAGAATCTCAGCTTTCCAAAGATATATGACACGTTTATCTTTTTTTTTGTGTGTTTCACGAAGTTAACCCTTCAATGTATGTAGTGTACCGCGGGCGGAACACTGGAGTTGTAACAGGTTAAAGTCTCTATTAATGAACTGATGAGTTAAATCGGGTGTGTTAGATGAGTGAGTCAGTGCTGGGCTGCTCCAGAACAGTTCTGAAAACCATTTCAGAGACGTTCTTAAATGTGACTCACATAAAATATATTACATGCATGCACAGTTTTAAGGCCTTTCTGGTAACTTCATGACTTAACTGACCATGACATTGCATGCACGTAGTTTATTTCGTGCTTTGATATGAAAGGATGCAGGCTACAGCGCGCGCCGGCGCCTTTGTGCGTGCAACTGAAGAGCACGCGTTGTGAGCACAGTACCGTTTCCACGCTCGCTTGACTCGCGCCTGGTGCTGAAGTGAAGTTGAGCGCGCGTCTTAAACGTCTTCCGTTCTTAGTCGTTCTGCAACTGAATAAATGCACTTCTTGTCAACAGAAAAAGTGACAGAAGCAGCAGTTGTGAGTGGGGTGGCCAACCCTGGCCCCGCCCCTGCGTTAATTGCGTTAAATATTTTTTACGCGTTAAACTGAAAAAATTAATCGCCTGTGTTAACTTATTTATTATATATATAAACAATATTAAATATGAAATCAAAAATGAAGTAAATTTGGCCAGTCAAGAACAAAGAAACAAACGCTGTAAACACAAAGTCGAAAAATTGAGAATCTAATACAAATAATATTAAACAAAACAAACAGTTTTGACTCAAGCCCAAAATTAGAAACGGAACAGCAGCACTGCCCCAAACGGAACACTTCTAACCTAACCCTCTGATTAGAGTGTGTTACAGGCCCTCAAAATATACCTAGACCTAAAATACCTAGCTTTTATGGAAACTGATTAAAAATATTCCATGTTTGATCATTAAAGGGGACGACAGATGCCCATTTTTCACAAGTTGGTAATCATACCAACTTGTGAAAAATGGGCATCTGTTGTCTGTTGTCATACCGTATGATTCTTTAGGGTCTTCATGAAAAGTCTATAACATATTTTGGTTAAAATTTCTCAATATTAGTGTAAAACAACACCCTTTTGACACTGTCCAAAACAGCTCCGTTCACAGTGACCCATTTCAGTGCATGTCCCTTTAAATGCTAATGAGCTCTGCTCACCCCGCCCCTCTCTTCCATGGGGTGGCGCTCTCTGAGAAACTGTAAACTTTAGCCGCATTCATTGTGGAACTTGCTAACTAGCACATTATTTGGAAAGGCGATTTGCAAAGATTCACAAAAAAAAAAACTAAAAAAAAAACTTATACTCACTTCATCTGTAGGTGAAGCTGGATCACGAATGATTCACAAATGATAAATGCGTTTAGGTAGATTGGGGGTGCATTCCCTTCAAAAACAAACGTAATCCACTGCATCTTCTTTAACTCAGATTTCGGGAGTAAATGACGACTGCTATGTTCGTTATTACATCCAACAACAAAACACCTCAATCGCTTAGGAGACATTCTTGTCTACAACCGCTCCGGCGTCAAAACAATGAAGGATTGATGACAGCTCACTCAGGGCAGGTCTGTGATAAAACGGCCGTGTCAGTCAACAATTGTGGGAGGGGCCTGGGTCTGTGTGATGTCACTCTGCCAAGAATCTGTGAATGGCTTGATCTGAGAAAGTGCTTATTATTTGGGGGGATTTAAAAAAAAGCACTGGGTGGATTTTTATCATTATAGGGTGGTTGTGTACACACACTGCCAACACATATTTATGTTCAAACACCATGTAAAAGTTAATTTTACATCCGATGACCCCTTTAATGTTTCAGGACATATCAAATGACACTAATTACCACAGAACATGACTACTGTGTGTGCACTTGGATGGGTTAAATGCAGAGCACAAATTCCGAGTATGGGTATCGGAATTTAAAAGTATCACGGAATGTATTACTTTCACTAATTGCTTTCATTACAACTCATATATGCATAATGTGAAATCAATCAGCAGTAATAAGTAAGATGAGTGCTATTCTAGAAGTGGGAGAAGAAAGACAAAGATTACATGGTGGTCAAAGGAATTGAAGGGGACAAGCACCCCCTCTGAGAGGTGGCCGTGGGCCTCATCATAGAGGAGGGTTTAGGCCTCACCAGAGAGGTGGCCGTGGGCCTCGTTTGAGAGGTGTGGGTGAACGTGCTAGAGGACAAGACCACAGACCTAGACACTGGCAGCAACAGCAAAGGGTGTCCAATGAAATCAGAACGATAGTTGTAGGCTATGCCATTAATCATGGCATGACAATAAGTGTGGCAGCTACAATGTTTCAACCAAATCTCAGATCATCAACTGGCATTAATCATCAAAACTTTCCACAATAAGAACCAGTAAGTCATCAGAATGCACTAAACTTTAAGCTACTTGAAACTGTTAAATTAGCATATACAGCATGGCAGTGTGTACAACAGATTGTGATGTGATTCTGTAAATTTGTTCTTACTGTGACTTTTTCCCTGCAGAATAAAGACTAGGCTAAACAGGGGAGGAGAAATGAAAATTCTGACTGAGCAACAAGAGCAGGCTGTGGTCAATATGGTTCAGGCCAGAAATGATATTCGCCGTACAGAAATTCGGCAACATATCTTGGACAATGATGATATATTCAGCAATGTGGAATCAGGTGTCTTTAAAACAACTATACCATGTGCCTTTTGAAAGAAATACAGATAGAGTGAAGCAACTGAGGACTGAGTATGTTCAGGTATGATCTATTTCAAGATGCCTGTTTTTGGGGGAGAAAAAAAAATCCCCAAACTTTCTTTATCATTGTAATCAGTAATTGTTTTTCCTAATTGTCTTTTTAGAGGGTGATGGAGTTGGATGCTGATGAAAACCATCACAAATTCATATTTTTGGATGAGGCAGGCTTTAACCTGGCCAAGACAAGGAGAAGAGGTCAGAATTTAATTGGCCAGCTGGCAACCATCCAAGTACCTGGACAACATGGAGCCAATATCACCATGTGTGCAGCTATATCAGAAGATTGAGTGGTAGGATGCAGACCTTGTGTTGGGTCATATAAGGCTGGCCGCACACTAGAGGATTTTCAAATCTTAACCGATTTTAAAACCATGGGAGACCACAGACATGAAGACAGTTCAACCGATTTTTAGCCTTATAATCCTCTGAACGCGCACACTAGACGATTAGACCAGACCACGAGACCACACACTTGTCGATTGTAGGTACAAATGGAGAACAATCGATGTTGTTATAGTGAACCCGCAGGTTTGGAGTGAAGAGCGGGTTGGAAACAATTTGTGGTGTAAGTGTGGATGTTGATCGCAGATGCACACCATGTCAGAGTCCATCTGCTGTCAGGAGGCCGATCTGAACCATGTATTTTGTGGTCACTCCTGCATCACCATGGTGCATACATTTTACATACTATGCAGTGAGGTAGGGGTGGGACAAAATGGCGATATATCGTTGTCCTTCTCCATGCTCTAAATATCTGCTCCTGGCGTCTAAATCGTGGCTGTGCCATTTTCACCTTCTTTCCAAAACGCTCTGAGAAAATGATGTTTTATTAACAAAGTTCGGGAGGAGCACGTTCAGATAATTAACCCAGCCAACGCATCATCAGCAATTACACCGTCTATCCTATCAGCTCGAGAGAGAACTTCTATAAATAGCCCAAGCCATATTACCTTCATTTTCTCTACAGTATTTCAGCATCCCTCCACCACCCCGACTCCTCACCATCAGCCCGTTCCTACCCCAGCACTCGGGGGGGAGGGTGCTCTGGGTTCGGAAGGAATTACCGAGCTCGGAGCCCTCTCCCCGGACAGCACGCCAAATACGCATACCATTCATCCTGCTTTATTATCTGTAGGGCGAACTCGTGAACCATGAATCGCGTTCTCTATGCAGACAGGGAAGCACGAGGAACCGAAAGATAAACCGATTTCCAGCCACTATTAGCTGTACTGCAATATAGGCTATATATGTTTATGGAGATGAGAACTAAAAAAATTTGGAACAGCTATCAGAGTGGATCATTGGCACCGATCACAATATTATTGCAGAGCACATATTCAGTCCGTGAGTAGCCTAACTTCGCAGGTGGATTTCACTCACT